GGACATAAATTTGGCCGGAATTATAAAAACGGACATTTATGTCCGTTTTTGTAAATTTGGCCAGCATTATGAATGTAAATATTTTAACTAATTATTCAGTAATCATAAATAAATAAATTATATTTTATTGGCTTTGTCTCATCAAAATATGCTAAATAGTGGTAATTTCATATTTCTATTATCAATAAATAAAAGTTATTAGCATTTATAAATATTTAAAAATATAAAAAATTATTTCAAGAAAATGTTAATATGATTTTATTATTTATTTATTAATCCTAAAGGTATAAAACTGCTACTATTTAAAATATCTCAAAAAAACAATCCAACAAGCTATATATATTTTATCTTTCTATTTGTAATTACTTAATTTCAAGCTAAAGCAGTTTAGCTTTTAGCAATTTAATGTATATATTTAATCAGATAATAGATATTTGTTTTTTTTTAAATCAGAATACTAGATATTGTTTTATTATTTATTTAATATATAAAAGTTATATGAACATCATGTTTTATAAATATTATATGAAAATTTTGTAAAGAAAATTTACAAAAATTTATAATTGATATAATTAATTAATAATTTAATTTATTATTCTAATTGTTATAAAATAATACATCACATGCTATTTTAATATAAAAGTTTACTTTAATATAATATATATATATTCATTAAGAATATATAAACAATTATTTAATTATCCAATTCATTATATACTATTATTGTAGATAATGTTATATAAATATACTATTTATTTAATGCTATTTGGCATTTAAAAAATTGGTTTATTGAAAAAATATTGACTTTTTGGTTTTTTTATTTTTAAAATTGCCAAAAAATTGGATCTTTCAATTATTAGTATATTAAATATATGTGAAAGTTACATATATAAATATACCTAGTATTTAGTAGTAAATTAAATATATATGAAAATTACATAAACATATTAATATTTAATGTAATTTTGTATTTAAAATTATTTTATTAATTAAAATATTTTTTTTATTATTAAATGCAAATTATTTTAAAAATTGTCAAAAAATTAGATTCTTTAATTATTAGTACATTACATATGCAATTTAGCAATTGAAAAATTATTTTATTAATAGGCCATTGATTTTATTTAGTTTTATTCTTTTTTTTAATTAGATATAATTTATTTTAAATATTATTAGAAAATTAAATGATTTGATTCTTTTAATTATTAGTATATTATTATATCTATAGAAGTTGAATAAACATACCTATTTAATGGAATTTAATATTTAAATTATTTTATTAATATAAAACTTAATTTTTGTTTTGTTTTTATTTACAGTATTTATTTTTTATTTATTTTTTATTAGATACAAATTATTTGAAATATTGTTAGAAATTGGATCAACAAAATCATTCATTAAAAAAAATTTGGATTTGCGAAATGTACTGATAAACATTTACTGCAATATTTGCAAATCCAAATTTTTTTAAATAAATGATTTTGTTGATCCAATTTCTAACAATATTTAAAATAATTTGTATCTAATAAAAAAAAATAAAAAATAAAAAAATAAAAAAATACTAAAAATACTATAAATAAAAACAAAACAAAAATTAAGTTTTATATTAATAAAATAATTTTAAATATTAAATTCCATTATTAAATAGGTATGTTTATCTAACTTCCATAAATATATAATGTACTAATAATAATTAAGAATCAAATCCTTTAATTTTCTATCAAATTTTAAATAATTTAGATCAAATAAAAAAATAAAATAAAATTAAAATAAAATCAATGTTAATTGCTAAATTACATTAAATAGATTAAATAAGTATGTTTATTTAACTTCTATAAATATATAATATATTAATAATTAAAAGAGCCAAATAAATTATTTAATTTTCTATTAATTTTTAAATAATTTGGATCAATAAAAAAAATAAATAAAATCAAAATTAAATGTTAATTGCTAAATTACATTAAATAGATTAATAAATAAGTATATTTATTTAACTTCCATAAATATGTAATGTATTAATAATTAAAAGAGTTAAATTTCTATCAATTTTTGAAATAATTTGGATCAAAATCATCAAATAAAAAAAAATTAATAAAATCAAAATTAATCAATGTTAATTGCTAAATTACATTAAATAAGTATGTTTATTTAACTTCCATAAATATGTAATGTATTAATAATTGAAGGATTTAAATTTCTGACAATTTTTAGATCTAATAAAAAAAGTAAATAAAAAACAAAAAAATTAATGTTTTATTTAATAGCATAATTTTTAAATAATAATTAAATGATTTAATTTTCTGCATTTTTGAAATAATTTGTATTTAATAGTAAAAAATAAAAACAAAAAATCATTTTTTAAATGTTAAATAACTTAAATTTACAATAAAAAAATTTTTTTTTGGTTAAAATATACCAAATTGCTAAAAGTTAAATTGCATTAACTTGTCATCAAGTAATTGTAAAAAAATAATACACAGCTTGTTGGATTGTATTGAGATGTATTAAATGGTAGGAGTTTTATATTTTTAGGATTAATAAATAATAAGATATTTACATTGTTTGAAAAGAATTTTTTTGTATTCTTAAATATTTCCAAATGCCAATAACTTCCATCTATTGATGATAGAAACCACAATTTAACAATTTAACATGTCTTGATGAGACAAAGGTAACAAGTTATAATTTATTTTTTCTATGATCACTGGATTATGATAAATTGATGCAATTTATAATATAATGCTGACCAAATTTACAATAACGAACATTAATGTCCGTTTTTATAATTCTGGCTAAATTATGTCCGTTTTTATAATTCTGGCCAAATTTGCAAACGGACATTTATGTCCGTTTTATAATTCTGGCCAAATTTTGCTGGGCGAAATTATCTTAATTCTGGCCAAATTAATGTGTAACCTTGAAAAATTTTTTGCCTTTTTTATAGTTACAAGGTGGTACAAAATGTATATTAATGCAATCCTTGACCATGAGTTTATAAGTAAATATCTGTTCAAAAGTTATAAAATTGCCTTATTTGTAATTAAATGTTGGTATGTTGTTTGGACCAATCAGATCTCGTGGGCTAATCTGGCCCATGGGCAGTTTATAAGCTAGGATGTAGTGCACGCTCACTTAGCTTAGAAACTATATCGATCATTTGGCTGGGGTGAGTTTAAGGTTGCTTGCCGAAACCTTTTTAATAACTGCTGAAACCTATACGGAAAATGCCGAAACTATATTAAATCATATTAAAAATCCTGCCGAAATTTTGCCGAAATGCCGATACCCCCATTTGCCGAAACTGCTGAAATCCTGCCGAAACTATAGTAAACATATAGTAAAATCTTGCTGAAATTTATCGTAGGATTTTGGAGAGGTTTTGGCAAGCAACTTTAGGTGAGTTCCAGGCCAGAATTTACAAAAAAAGAAGTAAAAAAACGTTAATAAACATTCTTACATAAAAAAACCCAAAAAAACCCCGCTTTCCCTCTAGAAACACCTACTGGTTTTCATTTCCAAGTTCCAGGCCGGAATCTACAAAAAAAAAAGAAGAAAAGAACGTTAATAAACGTTCTTACATAAAAAAAACAAAAAACCCGCTTACCTTCCTTTAAAATACTCACCAGTAAGGTTGCTTGCCGAAACCTAGGGGTTTAGGCAAGATGGCGTTTTGCTGAAAAGCAAAATTCTGCTGAAACTATATTAAAGTTATATTAAAAAACTGGCGAAACTTTGGAGAATGGCGAAACTGCCGAAACTTATTATAAATGCCGAAACTGCTGAAACTCTGCCAAAACTATAATAAATCTATAGTAAAATTTTGACGAAACTAATCATAGGATTTTGAAGAGGTTTAGACAAGCAACCTTACTCACCAGTCTCCATTTCCAAGTTTCAGGCCGGAATTTACAAAAAAAAGAACGAATTTTTTTTTAAAATGAAAAAAAAAATATTTAAAATTGCGCAATGCAATTAGTTGATTTGTACTATGCTGTCCGATAATCTAATCCAGATCATTAATAATTGTCAAATTAACCGGTCGATATGTTTCTTCTAAAAAATAAACTGATTTTTTTAAAAAATTTTATTAATGAAAAACCAAATTTTTTTTACTTTTAGTAATAAGAAGAAATCGGTTTTTTTATTAGTTAATTAAAAAAATTACATTTATTAAAAATAATTATTCTTTTTTTTGCGGGCAATCTGCAATTCCGCAAATGTTCTGCAATTCCGTAAAGTACCGCAATTCAACTGCAATTGAATTACAGTACTTTAGATCATTTGCGGAATTGCAGAATATTTGCGGAATTGCGGACAATTGCGAATTGCGGATTTGCGGATATTTAGACTTCAAAATCTGCAATGTTCCACAATACCACAAATCGCAATTATTCCGCAATTGCCTATTTGCAGCACTATCCTTACAGATGGTACACGTCTTTTGAGATATAAAGATTTGAAACATAGAACTAAGATAAATACATAGGGTAGAATCCCTAGTTGGTTCAAGTTTATAGAAGCTAAGCTTATTGAAGAACCTTTAAAATCTAAGAAAGTGAAAACTGATTATCAATTAGGATATAATATACATTGTGTAGACACAAAAATTAATAATATAAAAACAAAAAATTGGATAACAACTTTTCATGATCAAATAGGTAAACCTATAATAGGGCGTGTTTTAAATGATTCAAATGAAGATAAAATTCGTATAGAACATTGGATACAAGATCTAGAAAATGATCAAATATCACCATTAGTACAATTGCCAATCCTTAAAAAATGTGGAGGATGTGAAGTGAAAACGAATCAAATCAGAAATAAAAGAAGTAACACTAAAGTAAGGTGTATAACAGATATTAATATAGAGAATTGTGTTAAAATTAATGCAAATTCAATACAAAATGATCGTTATATAGCAGATATGGCTATTTACGAGGCATTAGCTCAAGCGGAATGTAAATACTACAGAAAACGTTTATGAATGAATGTATTATTGAAAAAGTGAATGGCTTATTCAAATATATACATCCAAGTGATTATCGTAATGTGTTGATAGAAATTGCAAATAGTTTAATGCAAGAAACTGATATAGAGATTTATACAGATAGGTTGATGAAAAATGTAGCGACTAGTGAAATAATGATGGGTTGTGCATTTGTAATTAGTGCTCCTATAAAGAAAAGTTTTAATTGTGGAATTGTAAATAATCCGTTTTCTAATAAGGCTGAATTAATGGCAGTGATATTAAGTTTAATGATCTGTCCTAAAGCTGCAAATGTTGAAATATATAGTGATTCTCAATGGGTAGTTAATACATTTGATGATTTAAACTTTTTGATGATTAAAGATATAGAAAGATCAAAAGTTAATTATAAGGTTTTATGGTTATGTTTATTCAAGATAATTAGGATCTATAGTCTTTAAGTAAAGATAACTAAAGTTAAAGCGTATGGTGATTGTGATTATAATAAAGAAGCAGATAAGCTCGCTAAATCTAGTGCTGAGAAAATGTATTAATAATAGAAGATAAATTGTTATTACACAATGGTACGATTTATTGAAGAGATATGCCTATAGAACATAACCCCATTCTTATGATAAAGGGAATCAAGGACGCTCAATTTATAGATGAATTTCTAATGTTATACCGTAATAAAGTTTATAGACAATCAGATCTATTAAGGCTGATAGATTGGAAAATATCTTTAAAGTTAAATAATATAAATCAATATGATACATTGTTTGAGGATCATTATTTACAATCATTTAGGATTAAAATTTGTTGTAATGAATTACTCAACTTGTGCTAATTTAAAAAAGCGTAAGCCAGATCTATATGACAAAGATTAGAAATGTAATTTTTGTAAAATAGAAGAAGAAACCTCTGAATATTTTTGGAAATGTAGTAAGATTCAAAATGTTGTACAAGATATAATTAAACGATTAAAAATTTTTTTAGTTAAAATTATACAGGAGTATTCAAAAGATGATATAGATACACAAAAATTAAAAAGTAAAATTAATGGGCTTAGTATGTGGGAAATTGGAAGCTCATATGATTTTATATTTTTAATGAAGAATCAAGTCAGTTGTCAGTTAATAGAATTTTTAAGATGCTTTAAAATAACTGAAAAAAAATTGTTATATAAGGTGCTGAAGCAAATAACTGGGAGAGTTTTATTAGAATTCAAAGTGCTTATTTGGAAACCAAGGAACGAGTTACAAATAAAAGAAGAAAAGCAGTACGGTATTAGCGATAAAGATAAAAAAGCTAAGTCACATAGTAAACGCACTGAAGTGGATGTCAAAGATGTTGACTGTAATATGTTAGAAAGTAATTGGAATAAATGGAATGATTTGGCATTCCATCGTGGTGGTCATTAGGCAAATTTTTAGGTAGATCATGACAGTCACCTTTGAATTTGAGGTCGTATCATAGTTTTTAACAATAATGTGATTGTTTAGGTGACAGGTCGACTTGTTCTTTATGAAAAGTAATCTTGTTTCATAATGCTTAATTCTTATATGTATTTGTTTATCTTATATTTGTAAGTTTATATATGTAAGTAAGCGTGATTATAATAAAACATGATCGCATCTATAATAAAGTTTTTTTTAAAAAAAAAAAAAAAATTATTAAAAAGTAAGTATATTTTAATAAAATATAAAGTAAAATAAAAATTTATATAGCCTTAGTAGTTATAAATGTTTATAAAAGTATAATAAAAATATCATATAAAAGATGGTACCATAATAAATATTTTCAAACAATAAAAATAATTATTTTATATCAGAGTTTGTATTACCATCTTCAAACACAAATATATCAAGATTCACTGATCCATTTTCTATAATTTTAAGCTCGTTGAAAAGCCCTTGTTCTGGACTTTATAGGCGAAAAAAAAAGCTCACTGATTGAATCATTAGATCCAGAGATATTTATGTTTAAAGTTGAGGTACGAACTTTTTAACATGCTTAAATGCAAATATCTTGGAATCCACTGATCCATTTTTTATAAATTTAGGCTCTTTGGAAAGCCTTTGATCTGGTCTATATGAACCTATATGAACAAAAAAAGAGCTTGTCAATTGGATTACTGGATCTGGAGATATTTATGTTTTAAGTTGAGATACAAATTTTTAACATATATAGTAAACGCTAAGAATTATATTAATTTAAAAGAAATATTTACCAAATTATAGTATAATAACATTAAATAAAAATTTTTTAATACTCATTTCCAATTTACTGTATATTATATAGTATTTTGTATAATAAAAATGTAATAAAATTAATATTTTAATTAAAGGTAAACAAATCAGCCCATATGGCTAGTGAATCTGTAAATTCAATCAATACTAGAAAAATATCTAGTGATCATGATAAAGTGTTAACAAATAATAAAATAAAACCAATTATTCAATTGAGAAATTTTTTCAAATTTATGAGTTTTTGGATTTATTCTGAATTCTTTAAAAAAAGTAATACTTTCATTAAAATTAAAAAGAGCTACACTTGCAGATTATTTTTTAAGCTTGACAAGACTTGCAGCTACATTAAAAAAGTTATTCAAATCATTAAATCCTACATTCTGAAATCATTGTATCAAAGTAATAAATAAAAGATTTGATGAGTTTGATGATGATAAGTATATTACATATTTTTTTTATAGATCTCAAATTTAGAAACATGTAATTTAAAAAATATGCCTTCATAAGAATTATCAAATATACAGCTTCAATTGAAAAAAATTTAGGTTTTGATCATTATAAAACTAAAATTTTATGTGATTAAATATAGAAATATATTAATGAGCAAGAGTCATTTAATCTAGATATCAGTTTTGCTAAAAATAATTCTATGAATTGATAAAAATATATTAATACTAAACCAGAATCAAATATTCTGCTAAGAATTGCAAATTATTTATTTGCAATATATCCTATAAATTTAGCAACTTGTGAACATAAATTTTCAACTTTAGGATGACTATTTCATAAACGTTATTTAAATTTTAATGTGGATAAACTAGAATCCACACAGATCGAAAAGTAAAAAATTAGGCATCAATCAGTCACCAATTGGTGACTGATTGATACCTGATTTTTTACTTTTTGACCTGTGCCATGTGCAAATTAATTTTGTATTATAAATCCAATTCAAAAACTAAATTTAGATTTTATGGAATTGATCAAAAAAAAATACTTATCTTAATAATGATGAGATCAATATATATATTGCAGAAAACGATGATGAGAAATATAATAAGGAATAAGCTTCTACTCAGAGATTAACTACAAGCAGCAAAATAATATCCAAAAACAATTGCTATGTAGTAATCGAAAGTTTATGGATTGGTCAATTTGTTAATTTATTACATGATTCAATTACTAGTGAAATCAGCGATATTTCAAGAAATATATTGGATGATTCAGATGAAAATAATGTGAAAGGTGATGAAATTAATGATAGTGGTAATAATAAAAGAGCTGGAGAAGGTAACTATGATTATAATATAGATGATATATTAAGTATGGATAATGGTGATAATAATGATACCAGTTTGCTCTTTAACGCTTTATATATGTAGGCAAAAATTAGCTCTACTGTGATTTTCTATTTACAGAAAAATCTTAAACTTTCATAAGTTAGAAGTATACAATTAGGTGCTAAACTTCTCATATGGTCATTATTCTTTTTAAAAATTATTTATAAAAAGATAAATATAACCATATTGTTAAATGGAAAATTATGCAACATTACTGTTTAGGATAAACACTCTTCCACTCATAATTATAGATCTAAGGCTAATATAACTAACAGACATATAAACATAACAAATTAAAGGAAGAAGCAACAATTATTATCTTAGATGATCCTGATTTATATATACTTTAATATATACTTTAATATCAGACTCATCTAAGCAACACTTTCAAGATTTATTAGGTTTAATGCACTTGCAACTTAAATTGTATATTGGTAAATACTTTCTGCTATCTTAGGTTTATAAACCTTTATCTTCAAATTATTATTTTGATATAAAAATTTGATTTGGTTGAATAAATTTATTTATATTTCTAACTTCATTATATTTAATTAGTTAATAGTAAGGATTTTGATAGTTTTATTTTTATTTAATTTTTTATTTCTATTTTTATTATTTTTCTTTTTTTATTTATTATTTTATGCTATATACTGTATAAGTCGCAAATTTCTAGTTCATTGGAAACATTTGCTGGTTAAGTAGAATATCATGAATTAAAATTTAAAATAGTTTGATTTTTATTTTTATTTCACAGAAAGAACATCATTGGTACGGTCTACAAAAAACTGTATAAAATAATTCATCATAATTATATCTGTCTCTTATACACATCTAGATGTGTATAAGAGACAGCATTTAACCTCTAAAAATAGTCAATTTTGGTTCCTTATTATAATAATATAAAAATGTTTTATGTAAAATTAATTTTTTGAATTGATTAAAATATGTCAACTAGAATATCATAAATTAAATTTTAAAATAGTTTTTTATTTTATTTTACAGAAAGAACGTCATTAGTACGGTTTACATAAAATAATTCCCTACAAGTATATCATAATTAATTTCATTAATTTTGATCATTTGACTTTTGTATGACCATTTTGACCTCCAAAATAGTCAAAAACCAGAAATTATCTTGGTTCCATATTTAGTATTTTATTATAATAATGTAAAATTATTTTTTTTGTATCACACCATTAATTTGAATTGATCATCTATTGATTAAAATGTATGTGTAATGTCAACTAATTAAATTTTAAAATAGTTTAGTTTTTATTTTTATTTCGCAGAAAGAGCATCATTAGTACAGTGACTACAGTCCAAAAGAAACTATATAAAATAATTCCTATAAGTAGAGCATAAAAAAAACTAGGTGAATTTTAAATTAAAACTGATTTTTGTTTATATCACGTGATGGTAATGGCGAAACGAGATCAACATCTGTAAATGATCACACGATATTTGTTTATTATTATAATAATAATAATTTTTGAGATTATCGATTATCAATTCAGGGAATACATAAATAAAAAAACTTTAATTTGTGAATTACCCCTTACAGTATATGGAATAACCTTTTTTAAATTTAGAATGTAACTCAAGAATATACATGATAACTGAATTAGAATTATAGAATTTTCGTAAGATTGTGAATCTCAATACGTCATTTAAAAGAAAATAATGGGAATCCTAAAATAAAAAGAGAAAATTGGGCCTAATAAATCATTATACAAAGCTAATAAAGAAACTTATAGGCAATCATTAACTAATCAGAATTGTTAGAGAATAAGAAACTTAATCGGAAGAAAAATAAGGATAATGTGATTGAATTAATTGCTATTAAAATTGCTTTCCATGTAGGTGTATACGGTAAATAAATACGTTTTTGCGGTAAAATACTAGTTGCTGTAGTATCCAAATATACAAAATAAACGTAAATTGGGAAAACTGTAGAATAACTGAGCTCAAAAATAAGTAAACTATTAAAAAGAAGAGAGAGAGAATTACTATAAAAGCCAATTACCATAAAAAAAATTCAAAAAGAAAAAAATTTTTATACATACGGTGTATTCTTAGAGAAGAACAATATGTTCAAAATGTTTCCAGCAAGATGGATACCCGATGCAAGGAGTAAAACAAGAAGATGTTTAGGATATTCAATTGTAGTTGGTAAGATTGGGATGTAAGTACCGTGAGTGTTATCGTTAATATTATTATCGTCTTCATCAGGATTCAATGAGGGAAGGGTATCCCTTTCAGCTTCGCGAATGTGTTCTTTTGTGGAAATATAAATGCGTGTGAACTCAATAACTAAAGCAATGTCCATAATTAAACCTAAAGAAGAAATATAACTATTAATATTACTCCACGAAATATTTATAATAAACACATGAAATTAAAGTGCCAACCTTGGAATTTAAATAAGGCCGCATCTTTAGGGAAATCAAGTAAGATTACAGCGGCACTAGCGGACAAGATATAAAATAATAACCAAGCAAATAAAGATCCGCCCTTTATTCTACCACCATTTCCAATCAAGGTCAAAATTGCCATTTCAGTTGCATTATGAAGTATTCCAACTGCGCTAAATAATTTTCCTACATCAACAAATATAGCAAAAAGAACAGTTGCAAATGTGGTCCAGACATAAAGGACAAGTAAACGATTAAAACCAATCGTTGGTATGCCATTAATATCTGCATCGCTATCATCAGTAATGGTGTAGAAGCGAGTGATAAGTTTTTGATTCGTTGGAGGGTGATTAACTATCTTCAAGCCTATAGTACCGGTTATTGCAAGCAATACAACGGTCAATGTATTTACTGCATCATTTTGATCATAATTGTATCCTAACAAAAAAAATTTAAATTAGCTTTCGTTATTCAAGTATAGTTTTTTTGATAATAATAATAATAGTTACCTTCGATCTCTCCATGCCATGTCGGATATCCAGTGTGACGATCTGGTTGCTGTTTTATATCTGGAAGCTTCACAAAACTGAAACTTAAAATTACCGCTGCCAACAAACCAATTGATAATAAAAGTGTAAATAATTGCATTAACCTAACAACCATTTTTTATGATTTTTGTGAAAAAAAAAGGTTTAAAAATGAAATGAAAGATTAAGAAGCATTTATATATAACGATAAACAATCTTTTTTTCGATTGAGCCTTTTTTGAACAATTCAATAACCTTCCAATCAAGCATATTGATTAAAAAAAAAATGTTGCAGATTAAACTTTGTTTTACATAATTGGTAAAAATAAATAAATATTTACAAAACATTGGGAAATAATAATAACTTAAAAATCTTATAATCGTGAATTCTAGATTATACTATTATTGTTATTCACAAATGAATTTGGTCCCTTCTAGTATATTTTTATTCATAACAGGTACTTTACAAGATATGGTAGATATGGTAGGCTAAATTTTGTATTACTATTATATGTCATCTATACATAGAAAAGTTCCTCGGCCGAATAAGTTGATATTTTGCCTGTACCAAACGCGTATAAATTAATTGGACCCCGAGTAAAGAATTTAGTATCTTTCAATTAACAATTACATAATCGTGTAAATCGCTTTTCCGTTATCTATGCAATATCCTTAAATCTGACCTTATCTGTTATCATTTTCACATCTATGTTAATTAGACTATAATTATACAAAATAGTAGTGGATTATAAACAATAAGAATGCATAACAGGTATGAAGCAAGACCATACCAGGATTTTATCGTACAAATTATTATTTAACAACTTATTAATGTTTGATAATAAATCCCTGTTAAATTGTTAAATTAATTAAATTAATGATTAATTGGCAAAATGTTAAAGAACTTCAGTGTAAAAATTAAAATTAAATCCTATTTTATTATAAATAAGTGGTGATTATAACAAAAATATTTTTGAAATAATGTTAGAATAGAAAGGTAAAACGCTCTGATTTCAAATTTTGTCTAGTGTGAAGCTAAAATGAGAAATGTTAAAAAAATGTTTATTCCTATTCAAACCTCATATTAAAATATAGTGTAAAATGTCAGAATTACGTTATTAAATAATTTATTTGGAAATTGACCAGCACTAGCTGCGATTTAGTAAAGTGAATAAACTAATATGTAAATATTCCCAGAAAAAATGTCAATATAGGAAGCTATTTGCTGTTTTATAACGTATTATTCATATCTTTTCCTGTTATTTGTCTTAAATAAATAAGTAATCTCTTTTTATTTATAACACCAACATATTGACCACGATCTACTACAATAACATATCTCAATCCTAACTTTTTAAATAATTCCAATACAATTTCCAATGAAGCATTTTTTGATATAGTTAATGGTGCCTATTAAATGATATTATTTTAATACTGTGCATATATACAATGTATAAAAAATTTATTACTTACCTGATTAACATATGCAGTGAAATTAGCAGATTTATCAATAACATTTTCATCCTTGAAATAACATCTTGTTAAATTATCTGAGCCATGCGCTAAACTTAATGCATGCTCTAATTCTGTTGATGCTATATATCCTACTAGTATTTTATTATCTACAATTGGAAATCCTGCATCTGAATATCCTGACGTAGCTATATTTCATAACCAAAATAAATGTATATGAGGATATATTTATTATGTATGTATATTTTAAAAAAATACGTTATACTCACATAATTTTTTCAATTTATTTTTGAGTTCACCAATAGTATTCAAATCATTAACATCGATAACCTCTAAATCTCTTTGACATAAATCCAATGTAGTGGTAAATGTCGTGTTTGCTCCATCATATTCCGTCTTAGAATCTAAATATGGATGACCTCCTAAATCTATTAATAAGTCATAAATACCATGTTTTATTATTCCATCTGCTACCCACTTTGATATCATTATAGCAGTCATTATTGGCTATTAAATAAATAATAATAATAATTATTATTATTAACGAAACATAATAAAAGATAATAAAAGAAGGAAACTATTATTTAACTCACCAAAACATAGGTTAATGTACCAGTTAATTCAAACATAATAACTGTTAAAGAGACTGTACTTCTTGTAACTCCAGCTAATGAAGCAGCTGCACCGACCATTGCATACACACCTGGTATAACACAATCACCATTTATGTTCTGATTACATACCGTTGAATATATAGGAAAATCTGGATACGTCCTATTATTTTATTTTTATTAATATACTTTTACTACTTGAACAAATTCAATCATTACTCTTATTAACACTTACATAGTTAGGTACTGCATAACAATTCCAAGCATTCTTCCAAAACATGCACCAACAAGTAAAGCTGGAATAAAAATTCCGGCAGGTACTCTTATACCGAATGTTATTACACATGTAAGGAATTTAGAAATTAATGCAAGTCCAAGTAAATAAAATGCTTCAAACATTCCATTAAAAGAATTACTGTAAAGTTTTTAGAAGATTGTGATATAAATTTAGATTTCACATATATATACTCCTTCCTTTCGAAAAATATAAATAACGTACTCGCATAATCCATCATGCTCCTTTTCATTAGTACACTCGCTAAACAAGCCGAATATCAATTCTGTGTTCGACATCCTTGTATATTTATTACCAAAATTTACAGCAGCAGTAATAACAACAACCATCATTACCTCAACTACTGGCCATTGTTTCAACCATGTTCGATTTCGAATATATTTTGTATATAAGAGAATTAATTTACATAGTGATGCACCAAACAATCCCTAAAAATTCAATAATTTAATGAAAATTTGAAAATTTAAAATTGAAACAATTAAATTAATTTTTTTTTAACGCTTACCCCTAAGACTCCAAGAATTAAGAAATTAACTATCTCAAAAACATGCCAATCCTTATTATAAGAAACTTGAAACATGACAATTTTTCCTGTATTAAACGGATCTATCAACTAAAAGAAAACAAATGTTAAAATTTTACAAATGTCAAAGAAAATATGAAGTAAACACTATACATTACTTTTAATGAAACTGCGGCAACAATGGCACAGAAGAAACTTCTGCATAAAGTTTTACTTGGGAAATAATAACTGACTTCCTCCAAAGAGAATAAAACACCACCAATTGGCGCAGCAAAGGCTACACTAACACCGGCAGCTGCTGAAGCTGAAAGAATTTCCCTACGTTTACCTTCATTCTTATTGTATTTGTGAAAAAGACGAGATAAAACATTGCCGATACAGCAGGCAATATGAACAAATGGTCCTTCTTTTCCAAGTGTCATTCCTGCTGAAACAACCATTGCCTAAGAAAAAAAAAAGAATTTGTTTGTTTTATTTCTTTAAATCATGAAATAAATTAATTACATACCAATGAAATTGCTTTAATCCAAAGAGTTCTTATACCGAGAAATCCACGAATCACAAAACCGCTCAAAATAGTTTTGACTTCTGGAATACCGCTACCAGCAGCGTAGGGTTTCAATTCTTTACGTTTCGGTTCTATATTTTCTATTCGAGCAGAGCTTTTGGATGATGGTCTGGCATATAAAGAATTATATTTAACAAGTAACGCCGACCCAGTCGCGAAAAGAAGCTAAAAAAAAAAATATAGACAAAAATTTATTTTAAATTCATTTTATAATTTAAAATCTGAGATCAATACATACTGCTACAACAACATAAGCAAAGAAATCAAACAGCTTAGCATCCGATTCATCATGTATACGGATAGCTTGAGACCATGAGTTCCATTTATCACATTTATTATCATCATTTAAGTCTAACCCGTTATTAGTAATATTTGCACAACAAAAATTCCTGTTTAATCGCAATGATTCCGTACAATATCCGTCCTTCAAATCAGATCCCCATTCTGCAGCGATGTCAACACCAGCAGCGAAACATGCTGTCACGATTCCTATAAAGGAAATAGAACGACTTAGAAGTCATAATTTAATTTAAGTTTGTATTGGAATATATAACTTACCTATTAGAAAAACGAGAACCCAGCCTTGTAATCCGTCATATGACGTAACTATCCATCCACGAATTCCTTTGATCGAGTGGAGTTTACGTATACGAACGCGCTCTTTGACATAATCATGAATCCAATCTGAATAAAAAAAATTACACGTAATTAAGAATTTCTGATTTAAATTATCGAATATGAAAGATAACAAAATTTAACTTTACCGATAGTTGTATAATCATCGTACCAAACACGGATACCACCTCCTTCATTAAGCATGGCTTGTTTGTCTTCGTCGTAAGCACCACTTCTCCTTTTATATCGTCCAATTTGTTCAGTAAATGCCGCTGTTAAATGTTTTAGTTGCCTAGGATTCCAAGTATGCCGCCGAAAACGTGAAGATGAACTATTTAAATAAATATATTTAAACGAATTCATTCGTTTATAATATTTCTACATCAATATCTTTGATGGTGACCATTCTATTAGTCTAATGAAATTGATCACAAAGTTAAATAAAAAGTAACAACCTAAAAGCGTTATCGTCCTCCCTTGCAGATGGAAAATGACTATAATGAGAAGAAGGCTCACGAGCACCTTCCAATAGGGAAGTAGTTTCATTTGGTTCTTGTACATTGATACTATCTTTTGAATGTTCTGAAAAAGATCGAGAGCGTACAGCTGGTAAAGGATTTGAATAATTGTTGTCTCTTCGATTTTCCAAATTCGATAAATTGGTATTAGAGATTGGTTCATTTTGTTCATCACCATGACCGTTTATACTTTTTCTTCGGCTTCTGTCTGTCATTATAAAAACGTTAAAAATGCGTTAAAAGTTTCAAGAAAAAAAAAATTTTTTAAAACCTGGTTTATAAGGAGGGATGTTCAAAAAGGGGTTCGTATTACGCATTTATAATTTTCACCCTGCATTAATATAGCACATGGAATCAGTGGGATCATGTGTTGTATTATTGATTCCCACGTCCTAAGCTTATCCAATATTGGAAAAAACGAATATAAGTATAATTTTTTAAAGGTGTAATATTTCAAAAATGGGAAGTGAGATCTTGATATCACGTGATTTAACATTATATGATCGGACAAATTTTTGCCTCTCTAGGAATAAAAGCGGGGATTTTAAATATTGTTTTTCAAATGAATTTTGGAGATCATATCTAAAATAGATTTAAACCCTTTTATATAAACTTTAGAGTAAGATAAAGCCGCGTCATGTGTGACGCTAATTTTTTCTTTTTTAATCTCCTTTTTCTACTTTTATAATTCCATATTTCCACATTTTCTTATTTAACGTAATGTTTCTCAGTTTCCTTTTTTTAAGACTATTTAGTTCTTTTGGTTTTGCAATTAAAGTACATTTTTCTAGTTTTTTGTTTGACACTTTGTACCTTTTATTCTTTTAGCTACTGTATATAATCAATTTCATCAACTTTTTATTCCTCACCTTTTCCATTATATTTTTACCCTTTCCACTTTTTTTATTTCATTTTTTTTATTATTTACCATTTTCTATTACCTTTATTTTTTTTATTACCTTTTTGTCTATCTTTTTCATTTCTCTTTATCTTTTTGACAATTTCTGTTTCTCTTTATTTTTCCAACACATTCTCATTTCTGTTATCCTTTCCATCATGTTTTCATTTTCCTTATTTATACATCACATTTTTATTTCTCTCTATTTTTTACATCTTTTAGTTTCTCTTACATCTTTTTTGCCTTTTATCTTGTAATGATAATGGTTTGACAATTTTAGACAATTGAATGTAAACAAAATATTTTAAAAGAATTATATAATAATTTAGTAATAATAGTTTAATAGTTTTAGACAATTGAGTCCAATTTTAATAACATTTACAAGATTAAAAAATGTATTGTATTTTTTATTGCAATTTATTACAATTTTCTATTATCTTTGTTTGTTATTGCATTTAGAAGTAATAATCTGAAAGTGAAATCTGCAAAAATACAAGGAAGTTTTTAATAAAAAACTTACCTTTTTTTGATTCTTATTAAAATATCATTTAAAAATCAAATGCTAAAAGATGATTGCCAATTGCTTACAAAAAAAAAAAAAAAATAGTTTTTTTTAAAAATTTCAAATTTTACTGGTATTCATATTAGAATTAATTTCCCATTTACTTATAAGATAGGTTATTCTAGATTCAAGATAAAAATCATATATAAAATTTCTTGCAAATTTTATTAAGGAAATTTTATGTTACATTATTATAATTTTTTTCCTTTTTAGCTAATTAACCAATAAAATTTAAAAAAAAGTAAAGTAAAAATCATTAATAAAGAATTAATTTCTATAGTATAAACCTTTACAAAATCCTGATTTAACATAACCTTTCAGATTACTAATCAATATTATGATAAACTAAAAATTGAACTTGAATCCTTTATAAATTTTAAACTATATACTTGTAAGAATAGTTAATTACTTTTTATTAGTTTAGTTATAATAATAAAATGAATGTAAAAACTGTTATTTATAATACAAAAACTACAAGTAATCAAAAGAAAAAACAACTTGTGATTGGGTCCAAGTTATTTTCTCTGATGAATCAAGTATTGAGATTGAAAAGCAGTTACGACAAATAAGAGTTTGGAGGCATACAGGGGAAAGGTTTAACACTAAATGTTTGACACCTATCTTTAAAAGTGGTCAAAAATCAGTTATGGTTAGGGATGTTTTGTGGGAGGAATAAAAGGACCATTGATTTTTTGTGATGAAAATACAGTTAACTTTCTTTATAATCACTCCTGTTATAGTCACATTCTACTATATAGTCATACCAGTTGAATGTTCAAAACACTTTATTATTAAAATCTATCCTATATAGTCACAATCTATCTAGTCACTATCACACCTATCCTCAAAAATCTTATATTAAAAAAAACCATTTATAATTACAGTTATATAAAAAATATATTAAATAACTTGGCATCTAATAATCGTACAAAGATGTACCATAGCTTGTTAAAATCGTCTCACTGAGACGAATTGAATGGTGGTAGTTTTATCCTTTTATGATCACTGGCTGATGAGTTATTCAACAAAATGTTAAGCATCAGCATCATTATATTTCTTGATTTACGTTTACTGCGCCATTTAACATTTTGCTAAATTTCTCGATACCTAGTGATTGTAAAAAGATGATTAATAGCTCGTTGGAATCACCTCATCAAGACGAATCGAATGGTGGTAAGCTCATCTCTCCGTGATCAATATTGACAGAGTTATTACTTAAAAACCATTTAATATTTTTTAATTTCAAAAATTGATCTAGTGATTGGATTTCGATATATTTTATACCATTAGATTCGTCGCATCAAGACGAATCGAATGGTAGTAAGATCGTCTCTCTAGGATCAATATTGGCAGAGTTATTACACAAAAACAATTAATATTTTTTTAATTTTGAAAATTAATCTAGTGATTGGATTTCGATGTATCTTATACCATTAGAACCGTCTCATCGAGACGAATCGAATGGCGGTAAGATCATCTCTCTACGATTAATATTGGTGGAGTTATGATACAATAAAGTTTTTAGTATAATTTTTGCTAAAATTATTTTAATTTTTGGCCGGAATTATGATATACTAATATAAGAAATTTTTTATATAGTCACATCTCTTTATAATCACCAAATATGAACTGTCCCAAGTGTGTGACTATAAAGAGAGTTGACTGTATATAAGGAAGGAAATGAAAAAATTAATTCAAATACTTATGTTGAAATCTTAAATAAACATCTTCATCCATTTTATCATACAGTTTGTGAATTAATAGGAAGGGCTGCAACTTTTCAAAAAGATAATGCACCCATTCATATTGTAAAAATAACTAAAGATTGGTTAAAGAAGATTGGTTAAAGAAAAATTATTGATTGGCCGGCCAATTCCTCTGATTTAAATCTAATAGAGAATATTTGAAAGCAGTTAAAAGACAATATCCAGAGTTAGGAGGTCTTTTCTAGAACTGTGGGTGAACTTAAAGTTGCACTAAGTGAAGAATGGAAAAATTTGGACTGCTCCATTTTTGAAGATGTTGTTGCCTCAATGCCACAACAAATCAATGCAATATTAGAAGCAAAAGTAGGGCTAACACATTATTAGCCATTTTAAAAGTTATTTTTTATGTAAATTTTAATGAGAATTAATAAAGTTTTGCCAATTTTGGCATTATTTTTAAATCGGGCAATACTTTCTGATGTAACTGTATATATTATAGAGATTTATAATAATTTTTTCTTAATGTACTGCAATAAAGTTAGTAAATTTACAATGATCAGCATGATAATTTATCATGCGCATGTGATTGATAAAGATAAGATTCATCATATCAAATCCTTTACTGCATCCAGTTTTCAGATCTAACTAGACCAGAAGTTGCATATATCATAAAAAACGTCAAGGATTAGCTGTTATTATTGCACCACAGTCATGTACTCATGTGACACTGTTTCGACTCAGAACACCCTCATCACTAGTATTAGGATTTTTTACTTTCATTTTTTCTTAGTCAATCCCTTTTTCTCATGTATTGCTTTACAAAACTATAATAAATATTTGGGTGTTTACCTAGGTAAACTGATCACTTTTATTTTGAATTTTTAAACATATACAACTGATATTACTTTTTTATTCTATTAGTCAAATGATAATGGTGGCTTAGCTAGTATAATCAAGAAAAGATGTATCTGATTTGCATGATTTATAGAAACTCACCAACTTCTGGAATACTTCTAGAACTATCGAGAAACTGGCGAAAAACTAGAAGAAATCTCGTGTGATACAATATACAGTATATCATATCACAAACTGATTTAGCTGAAGGCGTTAACGCGTTGTGCATAGCATGTAAATATAAAATTAGCTTAGCCGAGATATGACCCTATATAAATTCCCAACATGCTTATAATCGAATAAAAATGAATTTGGATTTAGTATAATATAATCTTACTAAATTAGCTATAAATTGATAAAAATTGCTGTGTAAATTCTATAAATCAATAAATAACTAAAATTGATAAATATGGTATATTCTGACCCCTTTGTACATTTAAGTGTAACTGATTCACATATTATTATGATCTTTCTAGAATACGTGAAAATAAAACTCCATCAGATTGGAAGGATCGAATTTGGAACACATTAATGGAATATAGAAAAAATCATCTTTTGACTTATTCTAATAAGAGATATCTTATCATAACTAGTAGAAAACAAACATATTTATTATATTAGTGTGATGTTTGGTTTGGAATAAATATAGGAATATGTTATTCTTGTAATCAGCCTGTCTAATTCAAATTAAAAAGTGGGTATAAGTATTTCTATGCATTCTTTATGGATAAGCATTGGCGTACAAATTGTACTGGAAATAAATATTGTGATATGAGCTTCAAAGATTATATAAAGCTGAAAAATAATCCTCCATCTTGCTATTTCACAAAGAAGGCAATCCGTCAATATGAGATATTGAGATGTGATTGGAAAATATATCAAATAGGATTCAACGTATCAGGTAAAAGCATAAAATGCAAAGTAATGTAAACACTATGCCTAGCAAGCCTTACTATATTTATAACCAGCAAAAAAATATTTATATGAACAATACTTTCTCAACTCTTTCTTTTCTGAAAAAATCTGTCCAATATTAGAGATATGATTTCTAAAGGGAATCTTGAATGGATAAGCCAGTCACAACCTTCTTCCTTTATCACTAAAGCTTGTTGTATTAATGAGTGGCTTTAAGAGATACATTATGCGATGTAGTATAAGTGCACCAGAGATTTTAGCCCATAATAGATTTGAAAAAAACC